ATTTCGATGATAGAGATGAGGCTATGCCGCCGTGCCTGTTCCCCGGATTTTGTTGGTTGTGGCTTGGACAGGTGGATTACCTGCAGCTGTCAACTCCAGCTCGGGGTCGTAATAAGCAGCGAGGGCTCATCAGTTCAGCCAGCTTCACCTTTAGGACCCACTTCTCTCAGCTGCTGACAACGCCCTGCTCAGTCTGTGGGCCCATCTAATTGATGCCCAGTGATTTTCTTGACCAGCCTGGAACACAATGTCCTGGTAAATGGCGACTGATCCTGCGGACACAATATGCTCTCCTCCCACCTCGGCCAGCTGACCCTCGAGAAATTGCGGCAAATCGCGGCGTGACATTTACACGGTCGTCCCCAGGTGTTGATCAGGGGCGGGTTGGCCGGCACAACGCTGTGGGCCCCACAGCCATCCTCATGCCTCATGACTGCGGGCACAGACGCACCATGCTACACTTCCGGGCCAAGTGTGCCACCACGTTACAAATCACCATAGAGTATGTTTTTTACATCAACAAGTGCAGCAAGAAGCTACTAGGCTGGAGCCGTCGCTACTAGTCGCAAGGACGCTACTAGTAGCTAGGTTGGTTGGGAGTGTCAATGTGTGTTACTTTTTTGCGACGCGACGCATCACCACCTCGCACATTTTACGGCACTCCATCAGCGCATGTATATTCTTAGTCTTAGTATTTAGTATTTGTGTGGCACAGGGCTGCCCAGGCCATCTCAAGTTTGCTGGGACCTTGTGTTGCGACCATGTGTGCGAGTCATATTATGCTGGAGTTGGCCAAGCGGGCAGGGAAAACGCACCATTCGCCCAAAGAGCGTAAAGCGGCACGAATGGGTTTGAGACTTAGTTTGTTCAAGTGTCAAGGCACTAAAGGAGAGGGAAAAGAGTTAGTTCATCAGGAAAATTGGCTGATTGCTCCCAGCCCGTTGGTATACATGCTGCACTGCTGAGGACGTAGAAGATCACATCAGGGATTTTGGGCACAATCCGTGGAGCTGCTTGGCGAAAGCACTGAATCTTCGATCCCTTATTGATCCATTGTAAACATAGTCTTGCAGTCTTGCATGGTCATGGCTACAGATCGTGTTGAGTCTGTTTTCATCGCTTGACAATTTGATCATGCAATTGAACCCAGTTAATTGCAGCAAAACCGATAGCTGCGGCAACAGGTTCCTTTGCTTTGGCTCCTGCGGGTGAGAAGGTGCGGAACCTGCGGATGCGTTTTTTTTGTGGCGGAAAAACACCAATTCATGGTAGCTCTTCGGTTTACTGACCATGGTGATTTATCAGATCTCTCTCCCCACAGCTCACCAGATGTGTTGCTTGCTTTCCGAGGAGCTGGTGGCCAAAACGTGGACTCACGATGCCCGCCAGACAGCGGCGGAGCGCGCCAACCAGGCGCAACGGACCTCGTTCGACGGACGGGATCGCTCCGTGGACCAGACGGCTGAGGCGCGTGGCCGCCGTCGCATTGGCGACGACCTGGGGACCGGCCCGGCGCACTCGGCGTACATCGAGATCCGGGAGAGGCCTGACTTGGAGGGATGAGAGGCCAAAAAGGACCCCAAAAAGGACAGTGTGTGACCTTTTGCAGGGGGTCTCCTCCTTGCAAGACTGGTTTGTTTCCACGACGGCGGATCATGTACTACAAATATCAACAGTCTAGTTGCGGGGAATCCCGGGGAAGTTGAACAACAAGACTCTTTACAGGTGGCAAAAGACAAATACACACCCAGAATTGGATGTACTCTGAAGCAACCAGCAACCATTCTTCGCAGTTTCGAGTTTTGCACCTCGCGTTGTGCTTGGGGTTTGGTCCACCCTGCGTGGCCACAGTAAACAGTTTTGAAGTGCCAGAGTCCTCGTTTTGTGAAGCTTTTGTTCATCCGAAGACGGTTTTCACAAAGCTGAGACTTTTCATTGCGCATGTTCTAGCAGAGCATTGTAGCAATCCCATCTTTTTTTGGAAATTGAATGGAAATAACTAATAACATCTATAATTAACTGTAGCGGTTCATTCCGATCACTCGAAGGGAGGAGCTTCTTGTCAGATCTTTTCCGCATGACATACCAATCCGTAATAATCGGCCGGTATATAGCTTGCAAGCAAAGTTGATCGTAAGTGATGTTGACCATCGCCATTAGGTTGGAGGCCATCGCTACTAGGTTGGAGGCCATCGCTATTGAGTTGGAGTCCTGGAGGCCGTCGCTATTAGGTTGGAGGCCACCGCTATTGGATTGGAGGCCCATCGCTACTAGGTTGGAGGCCATCGCTATTAGGTTGGAGGCCATCGCTATTAGGTTGGAGGCCATCGCTACTAGGTTGGAGGCCATCGCTATTAGGTTGGAGGCCATCGCTATTGAGTTGGAGGCCGTTGCTATTAGGTTGGAGGCCGCCGCTATTAGATTGGAGGCCCATCGCTACTAGGTTGGAGGCCATCGCTATTTGGTTGGAGGCCATGACTATTATATACTCGTAGTAACTCAACAGACAATTCTTAATTATTTGTCAGTTTATTCTCCCAGGTGGGATGGTCCCAATGAAGAGGCCAGGCAAGGGAACATGTGTGTGTGTGGCGAATGAACTAGAGGTAGTGCAGAAATTGAATTTAGAAGATAATCTACCACCTCAGCTTCTCGAGCACCAGTTCAGGACTGAGTCAGGAGCCTGTAAAAGTGTACTCACACCCAGGCAAGGTAACATTCGAGTTCATCGATGCAATTTGCTGGTTCCTGCCAATACGAGCCTTGCTGTCCCCATTCCAACACTGGGTGAATTCCTTTCAACAAAGCTCTTTGGTAACTGATTATGTTCATTGATCCAACATATACAATTTATCAGATAAATGTCAAATCGGTTCAAGCTGGTTCGTCCTGGTCTCACAGGCCGTGAACGTCATCGTGGCCGAACATATGGACATCACTCCCGAAGAAGCCTCCGAACTGGTGGAGCTCGGTCAGGGACCTGAACACGTGAGCACTGCGGGACCTATAGGTGCTTTGCTGAAATCTCTTTTCACCGGAAGGCATGCAAGAAGAGATCTTCTCTATTGAGGAATGCTGTTGATGGAATAGATCCTGCACTGTTGATTGGTGAGAGACACTAGAGTCACTAGATATGTCATACACCTTTTATATTACAACTATATATACATACCTGGACCATCCAAGGGGTCTCCAATCGACCACCCTACAGGACTTGTGGGCTTCCGTTGATTCCGTTGGACACCCATTGGATGGTCCTAAATGGAATCCAATCAAAGGAATCAAGATCGAACCCAAGGGTTCCATCGGCAAACATCGTGCACGCCTGCATTGCCAACAGGGGTCAGGGTGGAAAGATGCACATGTCAACATGTCAACATATGCCAACATACACCATGATGGAGGGGCTATTCTATCTACAAAAGGGTCGGCTCACAGTAGGTTTGACGTGGTGTAGGACATCTTCACTGTGCGAAGCAGGAGATGGGGAGTGTAATCGCTGCTTGTTCGATCAAGAACCGCCTCTTGCATCTTCTCCAGTCGTGAAAGACTCACCACTTTTCCAGTCGAGATGGGATCTTCAACACCAATCCGAGGAAATTGCTTTGCAAGTTGGGCCCATTTCCTGTGCTGAGGCGCTGTGTGGTACTACGATGACATGGAGCTTAAGGACACGAACATGCATCCGAATAGCGATGGCCTCCAACCTGCTAGCAATGTGAAACACACTAGGATGTGGTCAACTTGAAGGGATGCATCAGCAAAAGAGGGATACAAAGGCAAAAGGAAGACACATAGAACATCATAGAACTGGCAATGATCCGCAGAAAAACCATGAGCCCACCTTCTATCCGTTTAACAAACAATGAATGGCTTCTATCCATACCTTTGCAAATCGGTTCAGTGACTTAGCATGGATTTAGTGGATTATTCACCAACCAATTTCACCAAGGGTACTGGTTGAGTACCATCTCCGTGTTCATCAGGAAAGCCAGGTGTCCTATCAGTAGGAAGGAAGCTACTAGGTGGAGGCCGTCGCTATTAAGTTGGAGGCCATCGCTACTAGGAACAAGGACGCTGTGAAGGACATCCAAGTCCCTTCGCTTCGCTTCCAGCGACGAAGAAACAACCGTCGCTGAGCGAGGAGTGGGTGCGGATCATGGAGCCGATGACGATCCCCATCGATACCGTGGGCAGCGAGGGAACGAGTCGGGAAGACGGAAAGACCCTTTTGAGTCGATACTGTTGGCCAACGACAGAAGTGCGAGGAGCAAGGACGCCACTAGGGGCTCCTGGCATCGCTACTAGGAGCAAGAAGCTACTACGGGCTCCTGGCCCTACTACTAGGAGCAAGGATGCTACTACAAGTTATAGAATTTGCCTCTGGTGTTAGGGAAATGATTGAAATGACCTTTCAGAAGTTGGAGTTGCCGCAAGAACCGGAAGAGTTATGCGTGTCATTTGGATTCATTTGGTGCCCTTGGCCTGCGAGGTACTCCGCGTTTTCCCTAATCCAGAGCGGTTCAAGACATGCTATGTGGAAGACTGGGACGAGCGCATCAAGAAAGTTGACAGGGACTGTCCTGCGCTGTTGTTTTGGTGGTGTGTCGGTGTTTTTCAAGATGCTCATTGTCATGCGGCCACACGGAAAGCATATAAACCCTCCAGTGCGACAGAAGCCAAGGATAATCCGGTTTGTCAGTACATTGCATGTGTTGCCAATTTTTGCAGGGAGTTCTCCCCTTTCTGCATGAGGATGGGTCATTGGGCGACATTTCTTCCAGCTAAACACAGCTGTGGTTTGCGGCAATGGTTTGTGAGGACTTTGTCGTCGTGGACAAGCCACCACTCTTGCCCTGCTTCGCCCATGTCAAACTGGCACGTCTCAACTCTAATAGCAAGAAAGAAGCTGCCGATGGCCAAGCAGCCAGCCGTTTGTGTTTTGGGATGCAACATTGAAGAAGGAACATCAGCATTAGCCCTTGAGCTGTCTTTTGAATGGATTACCAAAGGTGGTTGAGGATGACATCATTGAGGGGAAAACACACTGAACATTGAGAGATATAGCATGTGCAGCCTGTCATTAAAACACACTTGGATAAGGGCTCCCAAGAGCAGTATCAGTTGGTGAAGTTCCGGATTCTAGTTACTGACTACGTAGCAGATCGAATTAACGTCGTGCGTAAAAAAGGTTTAGGGGAATATCATGCAAACACCATGTGAACAAACCACAGCGGAGGAGAAGCTCAACAGTTCAGCAGGTACGTGGAAATGGCGTCCCATTTCCATTTCCTCCGATACATCGCCAGCTTTGTTGACCAGGCGACGATGTATCCTGCCTGGTCCCCTGCACTGTATCTTGATGAAATGAACTGCTCAGTTGGGCAAGCCATGGACTCCATGGACCTGTATATACAAAAGTCGATCTTGGGGTTTGTCACGTCACCTCACACACTGTCTTCGGGTCACCAACATGGGAAGCGGATGCCATGGTCCCCAGGGCAAAAGACCTTCCTACACGCAAGGAGTTCCCTTCCATGGAGTGTGATTGGGAGGCTAGTACTCTTCGGGACTCCGACGGCATCGAAGCGACGATTTCGTTGGACCCTGCGAAGCACAAAAGATCCCAATAGATCGAGACACGAGTTGACACATACAGCAAGCCATCATTCGGCCACGCTCCTTTTTGTCCGCGGGATGGGGGGGGAAAAAGTACATTGACTAAACGAGCCTAAAAGTCAACCTAACAAGCCTGAAGGAAGGAAACAAACAAACGAGAGGAAAGGAAAGAAAAGAAAGGAAAGAAAGAAAGGAAAGGGTGCAGGGGGTGTGGCGTGCGTTGACTAAACGAGCTTAAACGTCGACCTAACAAGCCTCAAGGAAAGCCCAAGGAACGAAAGGGTGCAAGGGGTGTGGGGGGGGAAGGGGTTGCAGGCCCGAAGGCCTTTGATGAGAAGCCGTAACCGGCGCACACTTGACTGAAAGGCGTAATTTACACCTAAGAAGCCTCTAGAAAACGAAAAAAGACCTAGAATTAGAAAACGAAGAGCAACAGCAGGAGAAAGAACCGATCAAAATGAATAATTACTTAGCAGTCCTGCCTGCATCCTATGAATACCTAACCGCGTGGAATGTCATTCTGTTGAAAGATAGCCAGTAAGCCCTGCGGCATATGATCAGCAATCTCGAGCAGAACACTAGAGCCGACGAAGATCACGTGGAGTCCGAGGGGAATACCATGCAAACACCATGGAAACAAACCACAGCGGAGGAGAAGGTCAACAGTTCAGCAGGTACGTGGACATGGCGTCCGATTTCCATTTTCTCGGATACATCGCCAGCTTCCCTTCCTACACGCAAGGGATTTCCACTTTCCATGGCTAGTACTCTTCGAAACTCCGACGTCCTCGAAGCGACGATTTCGTTGGATCCTCCGAAACACCAAAGATCCCGATGTCTGAACATGCTGCAGTCTCCTTAGGGACAGGAGTTGACACACACACACACACACTGACATCCATGCTCGCAAGAGCTAATCAGTTTGGAAGTTTCAGCGTTACTGCCATTAGGCCTTTAATGCAATTAGACCTTGACTTGGCTCAACAGTCAACAGCATGAAGTGCTGGGTCGGCAAAAACAGAATGTTTTAACAAGCGCATTGGCCCTTTAGGGAATTGAACATTGATGCAGGTACGTCCAGCTGGCCAAGTTGGATATCCCATTTCACTGGTAGCTTCATTGGACACAGTCCCAGTGAAATGCTGTGTCCCACGGCGATATTTGTACGATCAAAGGTACAGTCAATAGTTAGTTAGTGGTGTAAGAGTTCTTAGAAACAAAACTTGACACACCCATGCACACGCACACACCCCTTGACAGGTGACGAACGGAAAAGAAGTGCTCCACAGATGCTTGGCCGATGCCCTACGAGCGCCTTGGAGGAAGAGAACCCCAACGGTTCGAGGGAATCGCCCAAAGCGAGTGGTTTTTCCGTCACACGTTCCTACAAAAAGTTGCCTTCAAAGGCTTTTTGGGGTGGATGAACAATGATGAGCAGCATCCATATCATGAGTGCTTGTACTCGTAGGCGCTTGTATTTTTTTTGAGATTTTGAGTCTCAGCGCTTACATCCAGGATCATGATGTCAACCATTCATGTGTTTCAAGCCTGAGCAGAGTCAAACATGGGGGTCATGAACTGAAGAGTTGAGATCAACCAGGTTTCAGTTGAGGATGAGATCCACTTCCGACCACTTCCTCCAAACTCCTCAGATCTACCAGGGGGTTGCTGTTTTGATCGATGTTGATCAGAGTTTGCCGACACTCCGAGGTGCGAACTGTTCAAGAGGTGGAGCTTGGGATGGATGATCGGAACATGACAGCAATGACCCATATCGATGAAGAGGCCGGGCCTTGATTTGGCGACCGAGGCGCTGGGAGCGTTGGTTTCGGTGTTTTGATTTATCAAATGAGACACACAATGATGTTGCTTTGACATTTGAACACCGAAAGGTCTAGACCCTGGTCTTTGTTCAACTGACATGTTGTTCGCATGGCCTTGAACTGACAGGTCTCTGGATTGGTGATCCTGGCCAGACATGAGAAAGCAAGGCTGGTTTGTGAGCATTGGCCAGGGATCTCAGAGATTCACAGGCTGAGATCGTGCAGATTGCTGAATCCTGTAGATGGTCAAGTTTGTTGTCATACGACATTATGAGTCAAGCAATTGGAACTCAGTTTCACTTGGGGAGCTTGTTAAAGTCCAAGTTGAGCTGCATAGAGATTGCCCTAGACTCTAGATGGAATGAATCTTACACATACCCTATCAACAAACTATATTGCTTCAAGGCAAGACCTCGTGGATCTTTCACGTCGAAAATGTTCACCCAGAGTCCTAGGAAAAGCTGGACTAGAAAGAAAGTGGTCATCCGAACTCGGGGCCATGCGATCCACGTAACCACGAGAACCTTCAGGGAGTGTAACATGTGTACATGAAGAAAACCATGGCCGCTCCCTTAAATAAATATTCCAGTGTCCGGGTAACCCCCAGGAATAATTTTCCAGGAATAATTCTAAAAAAACACTCCTGGAATAATTTATTTTGACCATGGAGAACCCAGACCAGGGGGTACCATGGAATAATAATCCTGACGAACCTCTGCCTACCGCAGAATAATTGTTTAAGGGAGCGCCTCCAGACTTCACAGATCGAATCAGCTGTTTTGGAAGTCGTTGTGTTCACAATGCAGAGCTGGCGAATGATTCGAGATTCTGGCTCAAACACGCCATATACCAATTTCTCACATCTTCACATTGGCCCCAGGCCCTATGAAGGCATCGCCAGACACAGACAGCCCACCTCCCTGCACACTTAGCCCACACTGGCCACCAGTAATGAAAAAATTATTCTGGGGTCCCCAACCCCTGTTGGACATCAGAACAAATTGCTCCTGTGCTCAGGGGAGAAGCTAGGCCTCCAAGTAGCAGATCGTTGCCAAATATTATCAAACATCGCAAGTGGGTGAGACAATTGAGACTAGCAACGAAGTCGGTAGTATCTTCACATTGGCCCTGTGAAGGCATCGCCAGACACAGACAGCCCACCTCCCTGCACACTTTGCCCACACTGGCCACCAGTAATGAGAAAATTATTCTGGGGTCCCCAACCCCTGTTGGACATCAGAACAAATTGCTCCTGTGCTCAGGGAATGCACCCACTGGGAGAAGCTAGGCCTCCAAGTAGCAGATCGTTGCCGAATATTATCAAACATCGAAAGTGGGTGAGACAATTGAGACTGGCAACGAAGTCGGTAGTATCTTCACATTGGCCCCAGGCCCTGTGAAGGCACGGCCAGACACAGACAGCCCACCTCCCTGCACCCCTCACCAACCTCTCCACAAACGGGAAATTTATTCTGGGGCCACCAACTCCTGTTAGACATCAGAAATATTTTGTGTTTGGTGTGACGATCCTTGTGAATCTCAGAACTGATCTTGGCGCTCTTTAAGGCCTACAGCCGAATTCAATCCTGCCGGTCCGTCCAATCGAAGTGTCCACTTGAAAGAAAGAAAGATAGGATCAGCTCCAAGCCTCTCCTGTTTTAGAAGGCCATAACTCTCACTTCCTGCCCTATAGGATCGGCTCCAAACATTTCCTGCTTGAGGAGGCCATGACCCCCCCGAATTCTAAGCATAGCCAAGCATATGAGCTGTATGCATTGCATCAATTATTCCACTGTGTGGGATACACCAGGAATAATTTACACGCGTGTATGTGCATGACCCTGGAATAATAAGAAAATTATTCCAGGGTGCCACCCACATGGTCCACGCACACGGGAGGACCCATAGAAAACCACTGGGGATCCCTTCCGTTTGTGCGCGCAAAACGTCTCAACGCTACGACTCCGGGTTCTCATCGAAACTCCGTGTTGACCCAACGATGCGATTAGTGATTCTTTGAGTGTCATCTTGGATGGTGTGGCTTTGGGGGGGTTCCAGCACGAATCACTGTTTTGACAAGATCGGGTCTAGATTTGGATTCTCAGTATTCAGAACCGTCCAGATGACTTCTTACCAGATTAGTTTGTCTCATCAGGCAAATCACGTTGGTCCGAAGTAGCCACTGTAACCACTTTCAACTGCTCACATTCATCAAGGCTGAAAGACGATAAGTGTGTCTTCGAGTTTGTGGCAATTTGCACGAAGAACCTTGAGAAAGGCACGAGTGAGATCAGTTATATAGCTGGTTGTTCATCATGTACAAAGCCGAGAGCTGTTAAGAGTTTGTCTCCTCAATAAGGGTCGGGTGTGTATCCATCTCATGTGGCTTGGCAAGAGAACAACCCCACGACCCGTGGAAGTCCTCTATTTTAAGACAGATTACAGTAATCCGCAGCACGTGCCATGAACGGATCGAGTCTGGTTGAAGAAAACATGAATGACCTCACGGGTCTTGTTGTGGACGTGATTTGCAAGTTCCATGTTACATGTATTGTCTTGGTATTGCTTGCTTGCAGTATTTTTTCATGAAAGGCTCAATTGAGCAAGGACCTCTTGAACAGACGCCCTGCAACACCTCCTATTTGCAGGTGTGTATCGACATTTCTACATGAAGACAGAGGTTCAAGCTGGCAACAAAACACCTACACTTTATGCAGCTTGACAGCAAAGTAACATATTTCGCAGATGCAGCGTGTTGCCAGTACTGATAAGGGTTGCTAGCATATCAGAGGCATATCACAGGCTTCACTTGCAGATACTTGGCTTCAGGATTTTGAAGGCGACTTCAGAGGGTTTTCAATATGGGTATAGTTGTAAATGGCAACACCTTTGCGCATCCAAGGACAACATCCCAAAGCGTGCCATCAGAAAACGCTCGGACGGGCTCTGCCGTAAATCCGCTTGCTTCCGACCAAAGTGTGTATTTATTGCTAGCAGGCAGTGGCAGATCGCATGATAAGGACTATTGGTCCAGAAACAGTAAACCGCTGCAAGTGCATGCATGTTCGAGACACTTCACTTTTATGTTGACTCAGCATGGAAGGTGGATGGCAGTGGCTGGTCACGCTTCGTCTACGCGCCCGACGCGTCACCAGGACTACGAGGACTGGAACATCGTCACCATGGAGGTGGTTGCCAGCGCCGAATTGGACGGAGGTTACGCAGCCATGCGAATCAGGACAGAAGAACATAACCCCTCCCATCTGTAGTACCCTGAATCGTGGTGTGTTTAACCTCTTTTTTTGAGAACGCCATGAACGCCATGGTTTCCTGCGGTTTCCACAAAAGAGAGGCTCATCCACCGGCACATTCGTGGGAAGAGTGGAGAAGACACGAAAAAACATGAATCTCACGGAGATCCACATCAGTATGATTCAGAATGTCACACAAATGGTATGCGCCATGGTTTACTCATGTTTTCTCCGTTTTCCCTATGATTTGTTTTGCTCCAAAAACAGGCTTCAATGTTTGAGATAATCTCCCAGAATTGGTGTAAGGGAATTCTATATACAGGAAAGCCATAGTTTTGGAGGTGGAAACATGGGTTTGCTGGAGATGTTCCGTTGAAATCCTTGAACTAATTGATTAAAGGTCTTAATCCATTTCATTGCTACACTGATGCTTCAGCCAAGGCCCAAGGCCTTTTGTTGCAACTTTGACGACCACTCTCGCCGAGTGTGCACTCGGCAGGACGAAGCACACTGGTCCAACAAAAGAGCGCATTCGTGCTCAACTTGCAATGTTCGAAGCTCAAAAACGGATGATTCTAACCGGGGAGACCTGCAACATCCTGCAACCAACTGATCTGAAAGCATGTCTTAATTGACTTTCCATGTCAAGCACAGGCACACTATGGCAGAGTTGGTAGTGAACATATCCCATGCATTTGGTCCACCACCCAGCCCACTTGTTCACTTGATCTCCGCATGTGCTGATGCATTCCGGGCACTTCCAGTCTACTTTGTTCGCCCACAGCTTTTTACAGCGGACGACTGCAATTCTTGTATATACATATAGTATACGGTATATATGTTTGCAAAGCGGATAGTCAAGGAAATGTCTTTGTTCCACAGATCAATTGTAGTGAAAACCGAGTAGAGTCCCGCTTACGTGTCCAAACTTCAGGGACTATGTCTAGCCCTCATTGAAGGAGGTCAACAGGTGTGTGATCGATGTTGTCGTTGTGTTTTCACAGTGTGATCTGTGTGGTCTTGTGCTGCGTTGCAGAGGTTGGGGGCTCCTGTCTTGAATGACAAGGCTGGAGTCTGAACCGCCAATTTATGCAAATTGAGAGGCCCAAGAGGCTAAGTGGATCACTGGATGGAATCCTTGGAGGATACCGGGGGGAGAGTCGACACAGTCCCAAGGAGGGACAGATGAACATGACTCGCCCTATTTTCCATTGCCTTTGGAAGAGCAGAACCACATTTCGTCAATACTTGTAGCTGGGATGAAGTGATTTGGTTGATCCCAGCCTTCTGCATCTTCCGAGTCTGCACGAAGGGTAACGCTGAAGGCTGAAGTGTGAAGTTTTGATTGGTGATGGGACCGACAAACCAGGTTGGGGTGGAGCTGCTGTTGATTGACAGAATCATTCGCCTCATGAGAGAGAATATACGAGGATATTGGTTGCTGGTAATTTTCAACTGGCCGGGATGTTATATCGATGGTCATCATTGTCATAGACTAAAGAGGATCAGCTGACACCTGGATTGCCGTGGTTTCCAGGCAGTGATGCCGGCTACGGTGAACAAGAAGGCGGGTGCGAATGCGATAGGACCGTTAGGAGCACTCCCCTCTTCGGAGGTGAGTTTACAGGCGCTTCACTCAGACAGACCGGCCCAGGTCGCCAAAGCTGCCGGCCTTCTGCCTGCGAAAAGCAAGGGGGTGCACCTCGGACTGCCAGGAGAAGCAAACGGGATTTTTTTGAGCGGAAGTGATAATTCGGTGGGATTCGGACGCGGTACTGAATGGTTTTGGTGATGTTTTGTGTATTCCCTTTGATGCTTGAGTGATTAGTACACTCAATCCTTGTTTCTTCAATGACTCCACTGGATTCGTTTCACCCAGACGGACCATCCACAGGATTTTTCGCGGAAAACAACACTTCTCGGATCTCCTCGGTACTTTTGGAGCTCGCATCCCAACGAAGTAGAAAATTCTGCTGGAAACCTGCTTGTTGAGGGGCTCCAATATAGTTACAGCGATTTGGAGTTGCATGGATTGGAAGAACTGGAACCAGAAGAACGACTCTTGGACCAACCAACGCACCTGTCTTTCATGAGTGAACCTGGCTGCACGCGAAACGGGTTTCAAGTTCGGTCGCCCACTCGTTGTCCCCGGCCAACTGAAGTTCTTCACGGCGACCCCAGAACCCCCGGGCGGTGGAGCCTCTCGTTCGTCTCTACTCCCAGGTCTTACCCCGCTTTGGATATTGTCCCCGCTCGTCACACAGACGAGTATGATGACTATGGCCTGCAGCCCCAAGCATGTCAGCGGTCGGTGTTGATTCTGGCTGCCAAAGAAGTGATGAATACAGACAGTATTGGTATGAATCTACTTGTGATGAGACCAGCACGTGGGTCAGAATCAGTGTGCCATGAGCCTGGCTTATTGTGAAGCTTACCAAACCTTGCAACCCTTCAACCAGCAGAGACCTATGATTCCCAGCCGAGACCTATGGATTTTAAGACAGACTGAAGAACACTTGTTTTTGCAGCGTCGTGCCGTGGTGTGTTCCAAAGGGGGTACATGTTGACATTCGCGGGGGAAATGTTGTGCCATGGGGTTGGGCCAAGGCCCTGTACGATTGGGAAAGTCTCCACGCTGCATCTCATTTGTCTTATCACGAAGGGCAGCCAAAAAGGAAACAATGTGGATTTGCTATGGAATTGCTGTGTACAGTGGTCCCTTTATTCATGGATGGATGGACAGGGTTTTCAAAGATGTTATACGGTGGAAAAAGAACGTGGAGACGTTTCGGAAGCAGAGGGTCGATGGCATCCTTACCAGCATCCTTTCCGAAAGAAGCATCGAACTAACTCGCAGGTTCGAAGTGATGGTTCGAACATTCAGACAAACGGGGAAAATCCGTGAAGAGTTTCTGGATGTTTCTTTCATCAATCCAGTCAAACCAGCCTGAGTGTGATTCCATGTGATTCCTCTACTGTTTGTCCTGCCTAACGAAGCAGGACAGCTATATGCGCCGAGGTGCCGTCGCCCATGCGGTGGCCGCCGCCCCCACCCTGGGCGGTGCGGTAGACCCGGAAATCTTGGAGAAGCCGTGCCTTGGGCATTGCTACTAGGAGCGAACGGACGCTACGAACGGGGCTCCTGGCCTTACTACTAGGAACAATGTTCGCTATTAGAAACAAGAAAAGCTGAGAAAAACGCTGCAGCTGGTGTTGGTGGTGGTAGATTTTTGGAGGATGCTGCGCAGCTTCTTTTCAAGTAGCGGAAGAAGTGGGAGGTGAAGAAAATCATCACAAGGTTCAGGTGATTGTAGCCAATGATGTGCTGGGAGACTTGTGAGAACCGACTCTGAGGTACGGATACATGCTGCAGTTGCTGCCTGAGCAGAAGCTTGCAGCCAGCAGGCGCAAGAGAACTGTACTCGGACGTTTGGAACTTGTCCAAAAAGAATACAATACTTTCAACAGGATGAGCAAGCTCTTTGTCAGCATTCCATTATTGTTATATATTATATATATAAGGAGCACTAACTGTTGTGCTGTTTTGGCCTGTCTACTTTTATGGGCTTTCAGCGGTTGCAACTTGTTCCGATGGTCGTTAAATCTTCTGCCACATTGCAGTGTACATTCAATCCACAGGCGGGAAGTTCTACTGTAAGTGTATAGGTCGCAATGTCCCAAGAGCATGCGCTGGCAGATGTTCTAACCCTGGAGTAAGAACATCCCAGGCCCTAGCAACTACACTAGGAAAACATAGTCCAACATATACACTTAGAACATATATCATATATGGATGATTTTAGACATTGGGATGGTTTTGGAAAGCATGTTCACGTCTAAATTATTCTAAACTTGTATTAGGTGGTGCTTCCAGAAGAGATGAACAGTGTCTCCACAACCGCAAAGGATACGCATCACTGCAAGAAAAGAATCAATTGTACAGTACAACAAAGAATTTGTTGCAAATGCAAGTCGCCTTTGCAAAGAATAAAATTGTGGAGCCTTACACGCCAATAAAGGACGCTGCTCAGGTGTTTCCCATGCTTGGGAAATGTATATATATGTTTATTTTCATTATTGAGGGACAGAAACAAATCCTAGAGCTGCGAAAATGAGAGAGAGGAAACCCACAGACACATGTATATATATAATACTATATATATATATATGATTATGACGCTTTAATTTAAGTGTGCTGTTTTGTCTTGTTCTAAGAGCGCTTGCGGTCCATGTTCTAAGTGTGCTTGCACTGGATGTTCTAAGTGTGCTTGCACTAGATGTTCTAAGTGAAGGTTCTAAATAACAGATGTTCTAAATGTTTGTTTGCAACTATATTTGTACAAGCATACCAGCTCTCAAAAACATACAGTATATAAGTGCTATTTAATAATATTCAATAATGATTGGTCCGATTTCACCTTTGACAGGGGCATTCCACAAACACCCCGAACAAAAGTGCGGCCGCCCAGTTGCTAGACCAGTGCTCAAAAATCCATGGATCTCAGTGCTATCCGTGCTGAGTTGGAAAGCCAGGTTCCCTGTGGAAAACCGTGCGGCATCGTACGGCCGTACGGATGATTTTAGAGAGCTTGTTGGAAAACAGCTATGAGCTCGTTCGTGGCCGAGCTGACTCGTGACCGGGACCTTTTAGGGGGACATCCAAGGCCTCCAGCGGATCGATCGGAAAGTGGTTGGGTCGGGATCGTTCGGTCGTGCTCCTCGCGGAGGCTCCAGTTTCGCAATTGGACCTTTAGTCCTGATAGTGCCACATCCAAGATAGGCAAAACACGGGCCACAAAGATCATGTTTGTTAGTATTCAGGGGACTATATTTGCCAAGTATTCTCAAGCACCTAGCCTTGCTGGTTTCGGAGATTCTACATACCAAATGAATCCAAATGAAACAATCCTGAATCCTGACTTTTGAAGGAGACATTCAGGGTTGCTTCTACAGACTTCTGCAGTTCGCTGTGGATTCCCAAAATCTTGAGAAAGGTTGATAAGGAGGGAATCATGTGTCTTCGACCCTCTGGAACGTGACATTTTAAGTGCTCTTGTGATGTCCTTGACCTAGGTGCCTGTGGCTCTCCACTTGGCACGCGTGGAGTTCGGTGGCCGTGTCCGGTGGCCTAGCCGAAGCTCCCCCAATGCGCAACCGTCGGTTTACGCAGCAAACGCCTCAACCAGCACCAGCAAGGGTTGGAGTGTGTTGGTTTCCAAATCGTATGAATGAGGCTAGCCAAGACAAAACAAGAGCTACAGTACAGTATATAATTACTTGGTTGACCCGCAGAAACGAGCAAGATGGACCATCAAGAATGTCAACTGATCCCAAAGGTCATTGGCGTGTTTAGCTTGCCACAACTTAGTGCAGACAGACATCTGACAGATTGCTGCTGAAACATTCTGAAATCACTTCTGTTGGATGTTGATGTTGCACAACTTCAGATCTGCTATTGCCTGCCCTGTCCACATCCTAGGCACAAACTGATCTACATGTTGTGTATTTTTGGTGTTTGTAGTCTCAACCCTGCGGTTGGAAGTTGGTTGAAAGCGTTGCGTCAGTCTGTACGCAGCGGAGGTTGTCACATGTGCTCCGCCACCCTACTGGCCAGAGGGTGCCTGCAATGACCAAATGAGGGGGTTTCTGTCGGTTTCTGTCGATGTGATTCTTATGCATTTTTTTTCCTCCCGAGAGTCTTCAGGCGTGGTGCTGATGATGTTTGTTGCTTCAAGTCGTGTGGATTTGGGATCAACAAGGACTTCTGAGTTCTATGAAGATAACTTTTCCAAAGGCTCAGAGCCAGAAACCTTTCACCTCATGTGGTTTTTCAAGCCACTGCAACAAGTATATGGCTCATCAAGACTCTATTTGGTTGAGTTCGAGAAACAGAAAGATGCGCAAATTCTTCGTTTTGTTGTGCTTTCAACATGTTTCAAGCATCCATGAGCTTCTTGTGCTGGAATAGCAAGGGGACTGAGAAAGATCACGTCGCCAGGCGCCGCTGCTGCTGTGGCAGTTCAACTGACCCTCAAGGATGCAACTTGGCGCAATCACCTCCAGTTGAGGACAGACATCTTGCGTTCTTGCTCCTAGTAGTAAGGCCAGGAGCCCCTAGTAGCGTTCTTGCTCCTTGCACCTTGGTGGTGCAGATCCTTTTTTCTGCTGATGAAACAGACTAGCAGTGACTCGCCGAGTAGCATTTTTCATAGCCGCAAGATGCTCTTCAAGTTGCACTGCTGCAGTCGAACAAATACCAGCAGCGGTGTGTATATATCTTGTAACATCGGCTATTGGCGTTGTACCGGGATATCCCATGGCTGTTCGGCTACCATATCCCATGCGTCCCATGCCCGCAAGCGCCGCTCCCAAGCTTCGAACTGCTTTTGGGATGCATGCTTGGTGCATGTCGCATTCCGTGCCCAGATTAAGACCAACATCACGGAATACCTGGTGTTGCAAGGACAGAAGATGGGTAAGGACCTTCAAGTTTCGAAATTCAATCAGTTGAATAAGCTTTTCCAGGACCTTCAAGGTGACCTCTAAAAGGAATGTCTTTACTTCACCTTTTACAGGCATCTTTGTGACCGAAAACTCTAAAATCTCAAGGATGGTGACTTTGAAGGTCCTGTCTGCTGTTTCCCCACCTGCGAGGTGAGGGGTGTTGGATTTTATCAGAGCTCTCTTCCGTCCGTCCGTCCGTCCGTCCGTCCGTCCGTCCGTCCGTCCGTCCGTCCGTCCTTCCTTCCTTCCTTCCTTCCTTCCTTCCTTCCTTCCTTCCTTCCTTCGCCTCCTCCTCCTCCGCCTCCTCGCCACGACTGCAAGCGCCAGATCGCAGTGGGCACTGCCGGACCTCAACCGCAAGTGCCACATGGCAGTGGGCACTACCGGACCTCACAAACACAATGACAGGCACAACAACAACAACAACAACAACAACAACAACAACACCACCAGCAGCAGCAGCAGCAACAGCAACAGCAACAGCAACAGCAACAAGAACAAGAACAGCAACAGCAACAGCAACAGCAGCATCAGCAGCAGCAGCAGCAACAGCAACAGCAACAGCAACAACAACAGCACACACAAGCACAACACACCACCACAAACACACAACCACAGCACAAAAGCACAGCACACAACCACAACACACAAACACAACACACAACCTCAACGCACAAACATAACACACAAGCACAGCACACCAACACCACACGCAACCGCAACACACTACCACAAACACACAGCCACAGCGCACAAGCACACCATGCAACCACGACACACAACCAAAGCACACAACCACAACACATAACTACAGCACACGGCCACAAACACACAACAACTGAGTGTGTGGCGTTTCGCGTGGCAGGTGGTAGCAGGGTAGCACCCTGACGTGAACTCCCTTACACAAAATAGCAACCCCAAGCCCGAAGACCCACAAGCAAAATCGAAATCCACAAAGCTCACCATAGCATGAAGCAAATGATTGAAATGTCATGGTGGGGGTCACTCGAAGTAAAGTAATTTGTTTTGGTTTGTGTGTGTTTTCGCGCTTCCCTTGATCGCAGCGGCTCAAGGCGGAGCTCAGGCTTCACCTCCAGACCTGAAGAAAACTCCGACTCTATTCAAAGACCCTCTTGTGGATTGACTTTGTTGGTGCTTGTACCAAAAGAGTATGCTGTATACTGATGTATGCTGTATGTTTTATTTTTGGGCCGGTCTTATTCTTGCAAGATATATGTATTTTTTCCTTTGCGTTATTGATTCCCAGCCTCAGGAGGCTGGTCGACCATCCGAAAGGTTGGTGGTGCCTTTGGGGTGAAGGCAGGGAGCTGGTTGTCGGCCCATCGCTCGCTGGTTGGGCAGAGGCTGAATAAATTCAGTGACTATATACATATTGCTATGGAATTGTGGGAAAACAACACATATTGGTAACACAGCTATGAAACTATGCCTTGGGTGTGTCCTAGAACCTGCAACAGTCAGTAAACAGTTATCACTATTTTTGAACAAGGCCTTTATTAACCATCATCATCGACTGTTACAGGCACTAGGATAGACCCAAACTATGCCATCCAAAACATCAAGCAACTTAGGACATTGGCCGGAGACGATTTTGGCGTTCTGACACAACCCAGGGTGAGGTTGGGATCAAAACATATTTGATGGCAACTTGGTAATTGCACAGTGGCCGACTGCAGGTGACATGGACTGCCAATGTAAACAATTGGAAATGAATCCGTTCTCAGTCAAAGCAAGAACTGAATGAACTGAAGGAGCTCGGTCCAGAGTTGGTTCTTTCCCTGTTGCACATTGCCGTGTTTGGTTCTTGCTTAGACACCACTCTTACTGTAGATGAAATAAGCCAATCTGACATTAGAACATGACAACCTTGCGGATTGGAATTGGCAAGGGAAACACTTGAAGCATGGACCCATCGCAGAGATCGTACCAGATCTTGAGTTCAGACATGCACAAGTCGTAAGCTCTTGGTATTGCTCCTTTGGATACATAGAAATCAGCTGTTCTTTCACTTAGTTGCACTCGAGGGCATTCTTTTGTCCTGCCATGTCCACGAACGTGACAGACACATGTCGGATGTGACCAAGAGGAGTTGGCAATGATTCACAGTCCGAGGCTGAATCCACCTTTTCTGCACCTAGCGTCTGTTGGCCGCAGCTCATTAAAGAAGACTGGAGACTGGCAAAGAGTCTCATCACAGAAGCTGGGTACTGCACCTTGTTTGCGGCGAATGGTTCAGCATGTCTTGGCTGGAGCTTCTTGCGCGGGCATGCTGTGGAGAGTCATATTTTTCAGAAGATCACCTTCTTCGAGACAGGCGAGGACGGAGCTGTTGGTTGATGCAGACTCGCATAGCATCGAAGAAGTAAGGCAAGCGATTCATTGCCTAGAAGATCAAGGCCAGGATTGAATTGTGTTGATATTTGTTGGTGCTTTGAACTGAAGCAATAGCTTGATAAATGAAATGATGAGAGATCAATGCGGGGTTTTCCATCGAAACTCTGTAAAATGCATAGTGTTTGTGTTTGTGTTGATGTTTTCTTGCTTTGACCACCACCGAGACGTGGAAACAAGAAAAATCCGGGGATTGGACGCCCCTTTTTGTCAGGCCGAAACGTCCGCACGGCGGTGTTTGCCGCTCCGGGCCGCGCCGACAAGAAGACCTGGGCGGTATTTTTGCGGAACCCTGCAGTCCGATTCCGAGGAATCCAGCGGACCTTGGATGGTTCTGGAGAGGCCAATGACGAGGCCATCTCCTTGGAGATGCAGAAGCTATCTCAACGTAGAGATGTTGGTTGCATAGCTTTGCTGACATCGGATTCGGGATTTGGCAAAGTGCTTGCGGTTCTCAAGACTCGTGGGATCCAATTTCTGGTGCTTGTCCCTGAGAAGAAGCCTTTGGTGATCAAAGCTTACAAAGATCGAGGCCTAGAGGTTCTGACTCTTGCATCCACGAGTGCAGCCACTGGCTCCAGGGTGAGAGCAATTCTGCATGGTGATGGGACAGGGTCGGTGACTCTGGCAGATCTTCATCCAGGAGTTTTTGATGAGCAACAGGCTGAACGTGTGAGAAACTTCCTTACGGACTTGGGATATGCACGGCCAAGCTTTGACACTGGAAGAGTGTACCTGCCACCTGCCTGTGCCAAGTTCTGGTTTACCAATGCCTTGGGCTCACTGACCGTGTTTCCTCCACCCGTGCCTGTGAAGGAGGTCATGTTGCAATCTTTGCAGACCCGATCTTGGAGACGCTACGAACACCAGCTGGCCTTTTGCTTGCCCACCTCTCCACGAAGTAAATTGACCAAAGACTGGGTCAAGGCCTACGGAAACAGGCAAGCACGTGCAGTTTATAAGGGTGGGGGTCCCTTCATCTTGCCCGATTCGCCCAACCTCACATTTCAAGCCTTGAAGAGACTGGGGTATCTGGATGACAAGCTGAACACCGATGAATTTGAAGCCATGTTATGCTTTACAAACAATTCACACAACAAGATTGTACTCAGACAGTTGCACTTGTTGCCTGATCCAGCAGACCACACTTCCGATGTGAAAGAGAAACTGCGGGCCGCGTTTTTGTCTGATTCTTGCCCGTGCCAATGGCTCTGCATGCCCTCGTGGAATTCTCAGTCCGGCAAGAACGTGGAGCTTTTGGGCATCCTTGAGCGAGCAGGAGCCCTTGATGGGTCAGCCGCAGATTCCCAAGAGGCTCTCTTTGAGGTAATGCAAAACTATGCCAGACAGGAGGACTTGCCCCCCATGCGAAGCTTCAATGGTTTGCTGTGGAGGATTTTCCGGCACGAGAAGAAAGATGGTGATCCCAACCTCAGGAGTGTGCTGGAATTCAGTAGATAGGACACTGCAGCTTGTTCATTCTCAGGCAAAGCGGAAAAGCAGTCTCGAATATTAGACTTGTACGGCACATAGATGCCTGAAAAGCATTAATCCTGAAAATAAAAACGACCCATGGACTATATATATTATCTCTGACACGGAGAATCTGTACAAAGGTGGGCCCTCAAGAACAGATCAATTTTCTGAGGTTTGATTTCCTTGTCATTGTCTTGAACACTTCGTGTCTACATGTCGCGAAAAGCCGTGACGGGGAGCAGAATCGGTGCTGGAGGGCTCGGGCTGCACTATTGTGAAAGCAGGAGTTGGCCAATCCTCTTTGTGTCGTTCAAAGGTTTTGCGCCTGTTCAGTCTGTGAATAAAGGTGTGTATACGTATAAATTATAATATATATATATATATATTATATATCAGATATTTATTTATGGTTCTATTGAATATTATAGGGTGTCATGAAGTCTCATTTGCTATTGTCCACCCTAGCTTCGCCATGCTTCGCCACCATAGGTAGTGCTGCTTTGACTCAGAAACCAAGTGCCGATGCATTGCAATGTGCCGATGTATGGCTGCCGATGGATCTGATGGCTTGGTCCTTTTCCTGAACTCGGCTGCCGAACTGAGCAACACTACACTTTTGGACTCTGCCCCGAACGATATTCCCAACGAAGAAATCAACCAAACGATGTTGTGATTATGATGGCATCATGGCTGCAACCGCTGTTAACACGGCCAATAGCAATGAATGATGTGAACGCTTCCTGGCACCGGGACCTGGTCCCGGTCGAACAAGCACCGGACCTTGCCTTGATGTCTCTATATATATTTATTTATGTATGTTATATATATATATGTGTGTGTATATTTTTAAATAATGGTAAAGTTTGTGCATTGAGTATCGTTTTCGAACAAGATACCTTAGCAATAGTTGCCGACCAACTACAGCCTGCAATGATTGCTGGGATCAGGGCTGTTGCAGTCAAACTCTTCGAGTGGTTTGTGTCTCCGTTTGTGGCGTTCGAGTGGTTTGTGGCGTGTTCTTTTCGACCTCTCGTTGCTTGGAGGTTGACTGGCTGGAGAAGCACTTCCCTGTGATCCGACACGCAAGTCGGGTCTTTGCGTCAGCTCCTGGGCAACAAATTGGCAACCCAAAGGTCCCGCCACAAACAGTCACAGTCGTTGCCCCGGTGTGGGATTGTTGTATACTTACGTCAGATGCCGAATGCCGTTGAATGCCGATGTTCTTGTTTTACGCCTTATGCATGTAACCTTGAGGTGAACTTAGATATGCTTAGATCAATTTAGATCGAGGCAGTTGTGATTTGTGTTAAGAATTTATTCCTTCTCCGCACAAGGCAACGTTTATATCGTTTGCTCGACATAATTAAGACACGTGTTTGCACGAAAACGCTCGAGAAGGCAGAAAAAACGGATCGTGAAGATACGTGTCTTGGAGGTAGGATGATGGGTGTCGAGGACCCGGGGGCCCCAAGCTGGCTGCTTTTGCCCATCAAGCAGTTTAATCATTCACATGACCAGTTAGCCGTTAGCCCAAGGAATCTGCGTTGAAGGAGTTGGAGACTCAGCCAGTCGTGTTTGCATGAAAGCATGTTTCAATCAGAACGGGACCTGCAAGTAGAACGTTCGTTTTCGCTCCCGTTCGTTCCACAAAAGTGAAGTGCAGTCCACAGGGATTGGAAACTCTTGAAACCTGGAACTGTACCTTTTGAGTGCCAAAGGAGTGCTATATCTGATGAGCGTTGAGAGAAAGGAAACGAACACCTCACAGTTTTCCTGAGATGTCTCCGTATTTCTATGAATACAACTTCCAAATCTTTTTCTGCTTGTAGACGGTGTGGAGATTTGTACTTGTACATCATTTACTGACACACCCAGCATGTTCGATCTTTGTTCCGAGCTCTCAAAAATCACCGTTTGCCCACATAGATTCTGTCTCGAACATGAGAATGTTGTGCCCCTATCAGCCAAGCAGCATAGAGTGTCTTATGCATTTGAGGTGGGAATCTCAGATGCGTGTGAAGCGGGCATCCAAGTCCTGGGGCGGCTTCTATGAACGCCGGGCCAAGCCGCTTGCCGCCACATCTTGTTCAAGATCAGTTTCCCGCCCCAGAAAACGCACTTCCTTCAAATGGATCCAGGAAACGCAATCTTGCTTTAAATGTCGGTCTCCCGTGGTTGGAGGTCTCCTGTGGAAAATTCGACATGCCGCATCTAAACAGATGTAGCATCAAAGTCCAGTAGCTTGACAAGCATCCCATCATGAAAGTACAGTATGATGCGAACTTCAAACCAGCCGGCATTCTGGTATGTGCTTGTTTGATACGATTTCTACTAAAGACCCCCAAGCGCTAGCCTTCATTATCCGGGAAGGCGAGGATTGCTTTTGGAAGTTCTCATGTCTGAAAGTTTCACGTAACATGCCACTAGTCGGTTCGATGCTGCTGCAAAGCCGAGCTGAGCTGAGGCACAAGAAGAAGATGTGGCAGCTCAGGGAGAGATATATTCGACCACAAGATTGGGGCAAGAAGAAGTTGCCCACGCAGGAAGCTTAGAAGTCTGAAGTTCTTCATACTCTTCACTCTTGATTTCTCTTGATGTATCAGCATGGTCTTCCACAGGTAGCAAAAGAATATTTGCTCTATTTCACTAATTGATAGTTGCCCAAGGGCACCACCGGACTCTCTATACATATTATATATATATATACTCGTATGAATCAATGGAATTTAAATGTTGCAGAAGCCTTGAACAACTGAGGTACAAAGAAATTAAGAGAGGCCTTGTTAAGCCAATCCAAAATGATCTGAATAGGACCAACATGTAAAGATCTTGAATGTACCGTCACCAAAAAATAAACACATTAATATTAATAGAACATGTTAATTATTGACCAGGAATATAGTACGATTTTTTGACACAATCAGTTCTTTTCAGGGGCAGGGGTTAATTGCTAATCTTTAACTGAAAAGGTTTGTACGATCTTGTAAGTCTTTTCTGTCTATGTTGTCGGCACTCCTAACTTTTCACTTGGGAGCGGACAAAGCCGCTTATGCGTTCGAAGTTGGTGACCTTGAGTGCTGTCTTCTTTCTTCCCCAGGATAGACATCCTGAGAACAACTGCGCAACTCGGTAATGTGCTGTTGCAATGCAGACACGTTTTGCATTGTTAGCTCTGAACCTTTGAGCGAAAGGTCTCCGAAACTTGTTTAAATCTGCTTAAGACTTGGTGCGCCAGAAATTTCTGGAGAATTGAATCCTTGGAATTGATTTCCTTATATTTCTTATTTATTAAAGGATATATATATATTGTAAGGGCTCCGCCCCCTCCCGCCGACCCCGGGGATAAGGCACGAGATCGCCGACGGCGGCAGAGTTATAGGAACGGAAGTAACAGCTAGTAGTATACAATAGTGCAGATGCACACGACATCGGTCACGGTGGCAAATTAAGAGGAATGGAGGTAGCAGCTAGTAGCATACAACAGTGTAGACGCATACGACAGCGGTTACGGTAGCAGATTTATAGGAATGGAGTTAGCAGCTATTAGCAGATAACAGTGCAGTTGCACGTACACAATAGCGCAGACGCACACGACATCGGCCACGGTGGCAAATTTATAGGAATGGAAGTAGCAGCAATGAGCAGACAATAGTGTAAATGCACACGACATCGAACAGTGCAAACGCACACGACATCGGTCACGGTGGCAAATTTAGAGGAACGGAGGTAGCAGCTATTAG